ATAGAGAGAGATCAAGATGGTAACATTCTAGTACACCAGTCACGGAAAATTGCTGATGTGTTAAGCAAACTAAACCTGATGGATGCTAACCCTGTAGACACACCAATGACAACAGGTTATCAGGTAGATGACACTGAAGAAGCATTTTCTGACACAACACTGTACAGAAGTGTGCTAGGCAAGCTAAACTTCATTGCCAGATGTTCAAGACCTGACATTGCTGTTAGCTGTAATTTGCTAAGCAGACAAGTCAACAATCCTAGTGTCAGGATTGGAAAGCTCTGAAACGCATAGCGCGATATTTGAAAGGCACTATGCATTACAGACTGAGATTTAACAATCAGAAGTCTGGTGGTCTTGAGATATTTGCAGATGCAAGTTTTGGAAGTGACACTGCAGACAGGAAAAGTACGTCTGGAGTTTGCTACATGTACAATCAGGGTCTGTTTGATTGGTCATGCAAGAAGCAAACAACAGTTAGCTTAAGTACTTGTGAAGCTGAACTGAATGCACTGTCTTATTCCCAGCCACTCTGGGCGGCTCTCAAACGAATATTAAAAACTTCCCTGCCTTCAGATGTCTTTTAAAAGTAAGATAGTTGCTTATTTCCATGAAATCTGATGGGAGGGCATTCCACAGGGCAGGCGCCACTACTGAGAAGGCCCTCTGCCTGGTTCCCTGTAACCTCACTAGTACCTGGTAACTACGGAATGCAGGATTCCCAGGAAGCTGGAGACAGAGCTTCTGCACTCAATATTTTTCCCTTTCTCATGGCAACCAGAAACTGAATAAACTGTGCAAAAAAAATGGCACCGGTGTTCTTAACATCACATCAAGTTTTGGCTTGTGGATTTCATACCGGCACAGAATTGGGGCTCATTAACACCTGTCTGCTCATCTCTTACTTGGCAAGAGCCTTGCCCGGAGGATCCATCAGCATATGCCACTTGGAGGAGTCTGTGAGCAGATTGGGCAGGATGTGGCCGAGGAGGGTGAGCGTCAGCTGCTGCATGTCCAGGCAGAAAATGGAGTAGAGCAACTCCACAGCCCGCATTGCGTGCTCTTTCCGGGTCTCTTTCAGCAGCTCCTGAGAGGGAAGAGAGGACAACAGAAAGTGACAAGAGGGTAGGGGCAACGAGCAGCGACATTCGCTCCTTGCTTAATGCCATGAGCGCCAAACTACTCTGGGAGCCTGTGGCAGCCTAGGGCCGCGGACAAAGCTCACACAGACTCTCTCTCTCTCTCTCGCCCACGCTTTGTCAGTGGTCAGAAACAGCCCCATAGAAAAGCACTGTGCAGCTAAACACAGCAGAAGAAACATTCCTCTTGCAGTATCCCCAACAGAAAGAAGTGGAGGGGGTAGGTAGAGAGAGAGGCATAATTTTGACCCACATAAGCCCACCTCTCAGATGGTTAGGAGCAGGGAATATACTTAGGAGGCATTCAGTCCACTACATGCAGCTACAAATACCCCCAGGGCTGTGTCTGTCATGGTCCTGAACCTTTGGAAACTGTCTGCTCTGCAGTTCCACCTGAGTCCATCACTGTGGACATTTAGTCTCTGTCTCCATCGTTCAGCCTGGACAATGAGGTCCAGTTCCAAGGCCCTTCTGGAAGCTCCCTCATTGTGAAATGTAAAGCCACAGGGAACCAGGCAGAGGGCCTTCTCGGTGGTGGCACCTGCCCTATGGAACGCCCTCCCATCAGATGTTCTGAAGACATCTGAACACAGCCCTGTACTGGGAAGTTTTTAATGTTTGATGTTCCTCTTGGTTTTTTTATATTCTGTTGGAAGCTGCCCACAGTGGCTGGGGCTACCTAGTCATAGGGGTGGGGTGTAAGTTGTTATTATTATTATTATTATTATTATTATTAATAACAGGCAATATATCGGGGGGGAGGGGGGGAGTGAGCTTAGAATTATGTGACTTGACTATTCCTAATTAGCTCACAGGTCTTTCTCAAATATGCATATAGGAAGGCATGCAGCTGAGGCCAGGCATCAAGAGACTGCAATTCCGAGTATCCTCATCTAGGCTAATGAGCTACGGTAAGGCCAAGAATCCAAATCATGGCGTCATCATGAGAATCCCTTGGGTGACTTGGAGGCAAGCCACTCTCTCTCTCTCTCTGCTTCAGTCTTGCCTCAGCCAACTGGGAATGCAGAAAAAAAACTTCTGCCTTGCAGGAGAGTAGGTGAGGGTTTTCAGAACAAATTTAGAGCCTTTTGACCACTTAGGTAAAGCAACCCGTTTTATGAAAAGCAAAGCTATTCCACTTATTTATTAAGCATTTACAACCCACATCTTCTACTAAAGCATGGCACCCACAATAATTTTAGGAAAACCATTTACAACGTAAGGCCTCCAATAGGTGAAGTCTTTTTTCTAGCTGTTGAAAAAGTACAGTACTCGCATGTGCCCCGTACCTTGACAAGGTTGTTGCAGAACCAGTAGACTCCGCCCATGTGCAGAAGGGTGTCGAAGATGTGGATGGAGCGGCTGTCCACCCAGCCTTTCTCCAGCACCTTGGAGAAGACGCCCATCAGCACCTCTTTGATTGGCTTCTTGGCAGGAAGGAAGTTCCAGTAGGGCATAGTGACGACCCCTGTGGCTGAGAACTTGATATTCGCAGCTGTCTGCTGCAGGACATCAGCACACATGTGCTCAAGGATTGAACTCATGATCACCACTCTGGACGGGGGGCAGGGGAGAGAAAAAAGGGTAAAGTATGACCACCCTAAACCTGCATCCTTATCAAGGCTTCTTCGGAAGCTCCAAGGTGCTGATGCCCCCAAATTCCAAGCAAAACGTCAACTAAAGGCATCGGGTTGAGGCTCTAAGGAATGTGCAGAAGCAGTCTTTGACCAGAGCTTAATATTTGCAAAATGACCCTTCACAGCAGCAGTGATCGGGGAATAACAGAATTATCTTAGCGCTGCTGTGTAAATCTAACCCTCGCACTGGGACAGGAAACCATTGTCTCCTTTCAGACCCAGATGAATGAGTGGCAATTCAGCAGCTTCACACTGCAGGTTCCCTCTGATGCTCTTTTTGTCCCAGGATGGCCACCTTAAGAACAGCGGCAGTGCGGCCTGGTAGCCAGAGTAGCCCAACGTGGCTGATCAACTGCTCACTACCTGTACTGCCTGTGGAGCCACAGAATCACAGAATGGTAGAGTTGGAAGGGACCCTGAGGATCATCTAGCCCAGCCCCCTGCAATGCAGGAATATGCAGCTGTTCCATAAGGGGATCAAACCTGCAACCTTGGCACTATCAGCACTATGCTTTAACCAAAGAGTATTTGAACTTTTTTTTTTTAATGCAGCAAAAAGCCTGGGCCGCCTCCCAGTTATTTCTGATCTTTCAGGATGCCTAAGTCAGTGTTTTTTATGAGACACGTGATATCAGCATGGAAATCATACAAAAAAGCAGAACACGCACCGGGGACACAAAGCAGAATACAAGCAGGTTAACCTGCCCTGCAGATGCAGCCTTTACCCCACATTTTAAACCCTTAGCTTAACACCCTGTTTTCTGCTACCCAGACTCTTACTTGCCTCTCACTGTAGAACTGCAGGGTGTTTTCAGCATACAGGGGAGTTGCCAACTGCCGGATCATCTGCAATGACTTCTCTCTCTCGTCCAAGCCCAGCATACGGACGTGAGCTACGAGCCAGGCCACAGCGCACACGGCCATGCTGCACACCTTCCCCTTGATGTTGTCTGTGATTTTCTGGGGAAGGGAGGAGGAGGAGGAGGAGGAGAAGGAGAAGGAGGAGGAGGGAAAGTAAGGCAAGAAGGCAGCTGTTGAGACTCTAGATTTTTTACTTTTCATTCATTGAGGGATGGTTTGGATACCAAACATACTGCAACTGCAGCAGTAGTTGTAAGATCACGTCCAACTCTCAATTCTATGCATCCCATATGTACCGATGCAAGAGAAAAAACAAGCCTAAAGCACCAAATCATCAGGATTGTGTAGTGCGTTTGTTGCTACAGTTTTCTCTTTCTATAAAGGGAGAAACACGCAGCCTCCCTGTTGCATGGTACAGCCCAGAATGTTTTTGCACCATTCCCGATTCGGATTTTTGCTTCTGAATGGTGGTGGGCTTTTAAAAGGTGAACAGCAACACATCTCCTTTGTATACAAGGCTCACTAGAAATGCCTGCTCTTTGTCATTACCTGGACGGACTCAAAGGTGAGAACCCCGTTCTCCCAAGCGTTCAGGATCTCCAAGATAGCAGCAGAGATGCTCAGACATGCTTCTTGCCATTTCATCTGCCTGCTCAGATGCAAAGATATACAGGGAGGGAAAGAATCAAGCGGAAAACTTGTCAGTAATATAGGAGATCATTAGCCATTCCCTCCCCCCATTCCAAACCCGCCTCCTCTTCTCTTGAAAGTGTATTAGCAATACCTGCTAAAAGCTCAAAAGCGAGGGCTGAGCAAAGATTTCTAAGTGGCAGAGGGCTGAGCGCCAGTCTCTCCCTCCCCCAGTAAGCAGAAGCAGAATTATGCACCATCTGCAGGTTTTGTTGGCACCAAACTTAAATGTTGGTGAAACCATGTACACAGGATAAGGAAGGAGGCAGGAGCAGCAAAGGATGCACAGAAAATCCACATCTTAACTATCAGAGAGCTCTGTTGAGACTGCCTGCCCTGTGTTCAACCATGAGGACTAGAAACCTGCTTTAAGAAATCAAAAGCCTAGAGGTTTAGGAATCCGCTCTATGGCATGGACAGAGAAAACAATGAACAGCCCTGCAGCATGAAGAAAGCGACTGACACTCAGGAGAGGTGGGAACCTTCAGCGCGCTATTTTTAGCGCACCAATTCCTAGGCAAAGCTATTCTAGCACAGCTACTTACACCAACTTCATTTCTGACGAATTGTTGAGCAAAGCAACTAGAGACTCCACCTTGGTGGAATCGGGCCGGAAGCAAGGGTGATCAGGGTTGAGGATCTTCCCTTCCTCTGGCATGCAGGTCTGCATCCAGGTCTCAAAGAAAGGCACTTCCCCAGGTGGACCAGCTTCAGAAAGGATCACCTGAAAGAGAGACGGCCAAAGGAGTTGGGCAGGGTAGAGACATCATGAAGCCCTCGACCACAGCAAGAGCGCCACCTAGTGAGTGAAAGGTTAGGGACAACACATGCAGGGCATGAACATGGGACCTGGTTTCCCCTGCCTGGAATAAGCTCTCACTATCAGGATTTTGGCCACCCCATTTGCTTACTTATGGCATTTTCATGGCACCCTGTTGTCAAGTTCTCAGGGTGGCTTACGACAAAACTCAAAGCAAATTAAAAATATTCCTCACAGGGGGGAGGGGAGAAGAGAGTGGAAAGCTCGGAAGGTACACTGCACGTGTTCAGAGAAGAACCCCCTTTTACTTACATCTCTGTGCCTATGCAGAGAACCTCTCCTCCACCATTACCTCTCCCTTGCCCCCATATTGTACAGCGTAGAGAAGACCCTACCTCAGAGCCGTAGGTCTGGGCGACATGGCACAGCATGAGGAAGGAAATGTCGAAGAGAAGCGCTCTGACTGATGCCGCTTTGGCTAGAGAAGTGGGAGGAAACCCACAACGATAAGTTCACACAACAACAACAACAACAACAACAACAACAACAACAAGAAGAGATATATCAGTAATTTATTATGACCATTAACGACATCTGGTGCATAAGAAGTGCTCTGCAACTACATTCTCGTTTGTTGTACTGACACAAGAGGAGTTCTCTCGCTCTGTGTTTTTTGGTGTCTTTCCATTCCTGAGTCCTTACGTCCCACACTGATCACTGACAGCCTCTGATGGGGCGCTTCTGGCAGTCCCTCATCCCATATGCCTTCTGCGCCTTTAGCCTGGGGCTGGCCCTGCCCTGTGGAACTCCTTGCCAAGAAAAGTCTGGCAGGGCTCGACCCTGCTTTCTTTTAGACATCTTTTGAAAACAGTGTTGTTGACTGGGCTTTTGGTACATGCATCTTTCTTCTCTGCCTTTCCTCCAAATATGCATATATAAATGACCCCCCCCCAAAAAACCCCTATTTATTTAAAAAGGACCCCCTGGAGGGTTAAGTCCAGTCAAATTCAACTATGGGGTTGTGGTGTTCATCTCGCTTTCAGGCCGAGGGAGCCAGCGTTTGTCCACAGACAGCTTTACGGGTCATGTGGCCGGCATGACTAAAATGCTTCTGGCGCAATGGAACACCGTGATGGAAACCAGAGCACATGGAAACGCCGTTTACCTTCCCACCGAAGCGGTACCTATTTATCTACTTGCACAGGTGTGCTTTCGAACTGCTAGGTTCGCCGGAGCTGGGACAGAGCAACAAGAACTCACCCTGCCACAGGGATTCGAACCGCCAACCTTCTGATCGGCAAGCCCAAGAGGCTCAGTGGTTTAGACCACAGCGCCACCTGCGTCCCTATCTATTTACTGGCCTTCTAGTAATCATAGAAAGCAGCAGGAACAGAGCAATGGACAACCCTAATGAAAATCGGACTCAGGCCCCTCTTTCCAGCTCCTCACTTTTTATCAAACCCTTTTGAGGGTGTGACCAAGCTTAACAGTTTCAAAGCACTCCAAACATCTTGAAAAATGAACAAGGAGGAAACAAAAACTGCCAATGGCTAAAGAGAGCTCCCTTTCCCATCAGTCCAGTGGAAGGTCAGAGGGTCTTTTGTGCATTTAATCACATGCAAAAACGCCTTCAGAATCCTTATCTTGGGTTAAGTGGGATTCACACACATCACTCCATCCAAAGGACTTGAGCTGTATGGGCGCTCAGAGGACTGTGGGGAGGAAAGGGAGGAGAGAGGAGAGGGAGGGCAAGCCCACAGCTGCAAGTTAACCCTTCCCCTCCCAGGGCCGAGGTCCCCCACCAAGCAGCACAAAGTGACTATTCTCAGGGGTGGTGGGGAAACGGGAGGATGCACGTGGTAGCCCAAAAGACAAAGAGACCCCAGTCATAACTTGAATGCCCCCCTTGTTGCATCAGGAATGCTGCGCTGGCACTGCCTACGCTGCCAGGCACCATGGCTCACTTTCAACTCTTCCCCACCCCCTCCAGACTTTTCAGTTAACACGCAAAAAAATCTAGAGCCTCAGGAAGGAGCTGCAGTAACATCAGACTGAAAAGAAAAGATATAAAGCAAGACAACAGGGACTTACAGCCTTCTCCGCTGATGTGCTTGGTAAGTTCATTAAGCCTAAAATGAAAGGTGAAGGAACAGAAAAGGGGGGGAAATGAGCTAAGGCTGCATTTATTTTGTAAGGGACCAAACCAAGTATCGTAACTGCCCCCACATATTTATTTTTTTGCTTTCTAAAATGTTGATCACCTTGCTGTGCGAAACACAACGCGAACTTAAAAAGCAGGTCGCAATCATTCCCATTCTACAGATGATGAAAAGAACCAAGGCAGCAACTTGGCAAGACTAAATGCACATCTCAAGTGGGACTTGAATTTGGGCGCTGCCCCATCCTTTCTTCTTTGTACCAATCAAATCAAGGTGAAACCTTCTTAGCCATTCCCCGCCTCCATTCTTCTCCTCTTTGGCTGTGCACACACTATACATTTAATTCACATTTCTTCTCACAAAGAATCCTGGGAACTAAAGTTTGTAAAGGGTGCTGGGAATTGTAGCTCTGCTGTGGGTAAGCTACAGTGCCCATATTTGGGGGGGGGGGGCTTGATTTAGATATGCTCTGAAAATATACAGTGTGGATGCAGCCTTAGCCTGCCTTTACTCTTTTGGAAAAGATTCAGGCCTTTCCCACCCAGATGTGGCTCATCTAGCAAGCCAAGTTCCCATAATGCAAACATTTTGACATTCTGGCAGGGCTTTTTTTCTAGATAGAAGAGGAGGAGCACCCAAGTTGTTGAGCTTTTGTTAGGGGTGGGATCGCCTAAGAAAGCTTCTCTTCTTTGCCCCACCACCGGAGCCTTTATGCCACCACCCTCTGCCGCACAGATGTGCCGCCCACAGCCTCTGCCACACACCACCGTACTGCAGTGCTAGAGCTGCCGGAACACGCCACATAGGTGACAGAACCCACCAACTCAGACACACTCAGTTCCGGTGAGTTCTGGCTGAAAGAAAGCCCTGCTTTTTGGTATGGCACAGCCTTTCGCTTTCAACCTCACATAAAAGGTAAAAAGGTAAAGGTACCCCTGCCCGTACGGGCCAGTCTTGACAGACTCTAGGGTTGTGCGCCCATCTCACTCAAGAGGCCGGGGGCCAGCGCTGTCCGGAGACACTTCCGGGTCACGTGGCCAGCGTGACAAAGCTGCATCTGGCGAGCCAGCGCAGCACACGGAACGCCGTTTACCTTCCCGCTGGTAAGCGGTCCCTATTTATCTACTTGCACCCGGGGGTGCTTTCGAACTGCTAGGTTGGCAGGCGCTGGGACCGAGCAGCGGGAGCGCACCCCGCCGCGGGGATTCAAACCGCCGACCTTTCGATCGGCAAGCCCTAGGCGCTGAAGCTTTTACCCACAGCGCCACCCGCGTCCCACAGCCTCACATAGGATGCCAAATTACATACTCGGTATCATATTCCACACTTGTGTAGACTACACATGGCCACAGCGCTAGAGCTTGCACGCCTGCAGCTTATACGTGGAGGAGTGGAGTAGATTTATTCAGACAGGAGTCTTGTGACAGAAATATACCATCACATGGCTCGAAAGATAAGTCCAGCCCCACCTCCCACTCCCGGTTCCCCCCTCCTGGCAGCAACATCAAAAACAAATCTGTCTTTACCCTGCAGGAGAATTGTTTGCTTCTAATAACGGGTGGGAGAAGACCCCCCCACCCCCACAATCTTGCTTGATTTGCTCAAGTACAGAAAGGCCTGAGTGTGCTTGTAAAATAGCCACTTGTGGGAGGTTTAACAGCCTCGTGAGCGGCTACCTAATAGCCCCTTCAGCTAAGACACAAATGGGTTCAGAAAAAAATGCAGCAGCCTTACATGGAATTGGGGATGGGCGGTGGAATAAAAGAAGAGGAATGGAGACAGGGGGTTGATCTCTTGTCATCGGCAGGAATGCAGAAAAGCAAAACAGGCTTACAGCTAAAATACATATAGCGCCTGTGTTCTGTTAGGATAGATTGGCTTACGGGCTTGAAGGCTTAGATCCAAGGCCAGTGCTAAACGTTAGGGAAGCCACCTGGCTGCCATTGAAAGCAGCAGATCTGTATTGGGCCGCCCCAACAACACCTAAGTCACTATGTCAACCTGTATTTCCAGTTTCCCAACTCCCAGGGCAGAGGAACACAACATGCAGTGATGTCATGTCATGATTGGTGTTTCACAAGATGTCTGGGGAGAGAAACATTAATGGGAACTGCTGATCTGACACTGTTCACGCTGCTCTTGCTGTGGGATAGGTCAGCCTACCATGCCACCGAGGTTTCGGCCACCACCTCAGTTTCCCATCTATGTGAAATGGGAATTCTAAGAATCCGCCTCATTGTTTCTGCAGGGGGAGGAAGGGGAAGAAGGCACTCCAGATCAAGAGCGATTTGTATGTGATAGGGATATTTAAGTTGTTAACAGCTGGGGGCGCTTTACTCCGACACCTTGTGCAATGGTTCCCCCACTGAACTGTGCCTGGAAGTGCTGATGAGGATCTAAAAGCAGCCTGAATCCTATGTAGACAGAAGCCAGGTAGGGTACAGCTTCCAACACACTCAACCAATGGATGCTCAACTGCATTTTAGCCATTGCACACCAGCCTTGCAAACTCCTTTTGAATGACAACAGCACAATATTTCATTCTCCCAAGTTCAGGATTGGAAGTGCAAGGCTGGGTGAGACTATAGCCTTGGAGCATATTGTTTATCTGTTCTGTTCTATTTTATTTTTGCTACTTTTCTTTTTACTATTTTACTTCACTTTATTTTTACCCCCCCCCCCAATAATTTTTATTAGTTTTCAATTACAATAACTCAATGGTAGCCTCATTATAACAATACCAAATCAAAGTACAATTACTAATCCCAATCATTCAAATGTCAAATTATAAAATTTGGGTGGCCTCCTGCATGTGCTAGAACTAATGGTTTGATTATTTACTTTTCTGCATTCCAAATCTTATTCATCTCAATTACATTCCATCCAAAATAACAATCCGTTATACAACAACTGTAATATTAACGACATCCACTCATCTTAACACATTAAATGATTTATAAATCTATGGGTGAAGCATTCAAACTATATCCTTATTCCTCCTGTGTGTGACAATTATTCTGATGGTGGCGTTCCTTCCTGTCCTTGTAAAATGTATGTCTATCTTTTCCCAGCCATTGCTGCTCCCCATCATGCCTTTGGCGGAGCTAATACCCCATTGCTTATTTTTACTATTTTACTTTATTTTACTATTTTTATTTTCCTATTAATAAAGACTTTTTTTTAATTGGCCAGTTGTGTGTGCTCCAGCTCTAACGAACAGCAGAAGCTCAACCGAGCTGTGGGTGGGTGTTTTAGCACTTTGCACGCTCTGTGACGGTAGTGACAGACTCCAGCTCCCCAACTTGAAAGGAGGCAGTGGGCCAATCATATCCAGACCCACTCACTTGATAAATTTCGGGCAAAGACTTTCAGCTTCCCTGTAGCTGCTGCAGCTGCCAACAACAGATCCAAGCTCTTCCCAGAGAGCATATGTCCCAAGACGCCCAGCAGCCCTTCTGGGGTTTTCGAGTGATCTGAATCCATTGTCTGGAGTAGCAGAGAAATAAAGAAAGAAAATAATTGAGTCGACGAAGGTTCCCGATCGGTAGCCGGCAAGGAACAAACTACAGAGAATTGTGTAAAGAGAAATCAGTTCTTAGCAACTTAACTACATGCCCGTGGGTATTCATCACCGTTTCACAGAATTCAAATTGTAAAACAAAAAAAAAGCAATATGAGAAATAAAAAGAAATAAAATACAATTAAAATTCAAGATGAATGTGGCCATGCTGTAGTCCAGCTGAATGAAGTCAGCAGACCACTGGTGGTCCGCAGATCACAGCTTGGGAATCCCTGAACTAAAGAACGGTGAAAATTTATCGATTGCTAAAAGGAATGTGAAGGCTTTGTCCAATGTTAGAAAGAGAATTAACACAGAAATGTCTCCGGTTCCATTCTTTTAAAAAGAAAAAATATGACTAAGTCGCAATCAACACACATTAACAAAGCACCAACTAAGAGGGGGGAAACACAGAATGCGTAACTTACCATAGATTGTCTTGATTGTCCTTTACAAGCAGTATCAAGACATACAAGAAGGTAACAAGATACATAGAGAAGTCTTCAGAGAATTAACAGATATATCTGGATTGCATTTCCAGACTAGTTCTTGGATGTCTTTCCAGAGGCATTTGTATACTTCAGATGAGGTCTACCCATTGTTTCTTTGGTTACACATTCAATAAAGGTTTGTTCAGGCCTTGTAAAAATGTGCCTGGCACATTTCAGAGTAGCAAAACCGGTAGCTGTTTCTCCAATAAACCATACTTTCAGATACCTTATGTCTAGGGTCACGCTGTTTGCTAACTTGGTAAATGTTGGTGTGCCACCCCCAATTCCTGTGTCACTTTGTCCCAGAGGGCAAAGCCACCACAGATTTATGTGTGGCAGCCCAATGGGTGTGACATAACAATAGAATAGTGTGTGTTTTGCTGTGTTCTCTCTAATACAAGCACAGACAAATGATACTCAAGTGGCCTTTTTGTGCCAAATAGCTGACCACTGTCCCAGGATATTTTGTGCCCTGTCCCTTTCCCCCAAAATGCCTTGAAGTCATTTGATACACTTTGATATGCAAGGCGTAGGTTCAAATCCCCAGTTGTGAAGCTCTGCTATCAGCCAGAGACAAGACACTTTCTTTCAACCTAATTTACAGTGCTATTCAAACCATGTCTACTTGGATGCAACTCAGTGGGCTTCACTTCCAGGTAAGTGGGGTTGTTCAGTTTGTAGCCTTAATCTCAATAACAGCTCTGAGATGAAACATTGCTCTGAGCAACTTCAAGGGAAGATAGCCAAACATAATCATTTCAAAACATAACTACTGTGCATGTCCACACAGAGGTTAAGGCCCACCGAGTTCAGTGGGAGTGTGTCTAGGTCAGGGGTCAGCAACCTTTTTCAGCCGTGGGCCGTCCACCGTCCCTCAGGCCATGTGGTGGGCCGGACTATATTTCGGGGGGGAAATGAACAAATTCCAATGGCCCGCAAATAACCAGAGATGCATTTTAAATAAAAGCACACATTCTACTCATGTAAAAATACCAGGCAGGCCCCACAAATAACCCAGAGATGCATTTTAAATAAAAGGGAACATTCTACTCAAGTAAAAACACGCTGATTCCTGGACCGTCCACAGGCTGTATTGAGAAGGCGATTGGGCCACATCCGGCCCATGGGCCTTAGTTTGCCTACCCCTGGTCTAGACTTCAGTAGCACCAAAGACTACTACAGCAGTAGTACTAAAAATAATAAAGGTAATCCAGTTTCTGTGTTCAAGATGCCATCACAAGTTTAGTGCCTACTTTCAGGATGTTGGTGACGGTGGGCTCCGCTCGCAGGATGAGGCCTGGGTTGGGTTGAATGTTAGCATTCTCGGGAGACTTTAAACGTGGCGCATGTTCCCGATCAGCGGTCCTGGGTGAGGTCAGAAGAAAAATACCCAAAGTTGAAATAAGAGGGTAAAGAGCTCTTTAATGAAAGTGGAATGCTCTGCTATAAGGGCCACCCCACCAGTACAAAATTCACATATCTATAAGCTTCTGATGGAAATTCAGGGCAATGAACTTTAATTTCTGAGAGTTTGACTCAGGTTAGCATATTTAACCTGTGGGTTCTCAGAAACAAACTTCCTAGTCCCCGTGGGCTCAATGCAGATGACAAACTGACTGAGTGGTAAAGTTTTCTATCATGGTTTTGCATGGTCTACACCCTTTAACCCTTTGGAAGCTTTTGGACTCCAACTCCTATCAGATTCAGCCAGTGTGGCCAATGGTCAGGGGGTGATGTAAATGGTTGTCCAACATCTGGAGAACCATAGGTATCCCATCCCCAGTCTGTATTTAGGAAAATGTGGTGGATTCCCCCATCCGCTTGCGGCTCATTCTCATGTGTGCTAAAGTTTGAAGACCTTATCATGTGGCTAGGCTCCCCCACATTTACAGCTTCTTTATTTGAAACATTTTGTTCTAAAAAAGTAAAGGTAAAGGGACCCCTGACCATTAGGTCCAGTCATGACCGACTCTGGGGTTGCGGCGCTCATCTCGCTATGTCAGCGACAGGACAGTCCCTGTCTCCAGGCTTACAATCTAAAAAGGACATGGCAGAAAAGGAAATGCAACTGAGAGGGTGGTGGAGGGGTTGGGTGGGGAAGCAAACTCGGGAACTATTATTTCTTAGCTACAGAATTCTTGCAATGACAAGCTAGAATAGAAGGATTTCAAGGAGAGGGGGAGCAAAAAGTTGCAGGGCTTTTGGAGGAACAGATGAAGAAGGCCTGCAGTCCCAACTTAATAAACTGGTCATCTGTATTAGTAATCTGTGGCAGGCAAATATGACCTGGAGTAAGGAAGACAGCTCCTGAGTTACAGCATTTCACAGCTACTGCTGTCTTTCAAAGCAAGATTTTTGTCTCCCCTGCTTTTTTACCATAGTTTTTTTTTTTAAGAGTTCAGATATCAATTCCAAGTGCTGTTTATCATTTAAACATGCTGAAATATCTACAGCCTCTGACAGGTTTTGTTTTTTTAATTAAAAAAAATTATTAACTTAAGTTTAGTGTATTTTGTCGAGGAGCAACCTTTTAATATGCAAACAGAACTCCTACTCACAAGCTGTTTGTGGCTGGATTACCCTGAGCAGAAACTGAAAGAAAATGGAAGGAAAAGTCTACGTACATCCTTGCCCAATCCATATTAATAAAACAAGACTAAATCAGCACTGGACAGCTTACTACAGTGTGTCTGAGGGTTTATTTGCTAAGGCGTCAGTTTGTGCTGTGATGAGAGGTGGGTGGGGAGGGAGAGAGAATACAATTCCCCCCCAACCAGTTTAAAAGGTGTGAAATTAAGCACAGCAGATGCTTTCCAGGCTTAAAAAGCAATGCATTTAATGACTTTGCCAGCTTAAAACCAAATGCAATCTTTTTTTTTATAAAAAAAAAGCCACATTTTTTTCCCCTTAAGAGAAAGAAAATTTGAAAGACAGGGCGAGAAGTTTCACTGGCCTCTGTGAAACAACAACGCTATTATCAGTATGAATAAACCCTTAAGATTGTGGGAATATATTAACCATCCACTTCCCTAAAGAAAGAACTAGTGACAAAACGCTGCCGCAAGGCACAGAGGGTCTTCCCTCCACTGCAGCAGAGCAAGTCAGTAAATGAAGCTGAAGCCACAGCAGCCACAGATTAAAACAAAGCCTGCCACAGTCATTTGTGCACACTTGCACTTTTAAGCTTACATTTAAGAAATGGGCAAGCTTCCTTGCATTTACCACTTGATAAGTTGATCGCATGCATTCGCCCATGGTTTTAGAGAAGCTGAGAATAATGCACGGCTGCTGGGGGAACGTCTTCAATGCAGCCAAGAACTTCCTTTCCTCTTCCCCACAAGTTAAGGGGCAGAAACTCAAGAAATGTTGAAGCAACCACTATTTGCGCCTTTGCCCCTGCACCTAGCCTATCGCACCTTTTGTGCAAAGCTAGATAAGCCTACCGTTTGGCGATGAGGTTGTTCATGTTGGCTTCGGAGAGCAGACCCTGCTTGCCACATTCTTGAAAGAGAAGGCTCGTGCAGTCACAGCTGGAAGAACAACCACCAAAAGTGGAAAAACATGTGTTAAAATGTATGAACAAACATGGTCCATAATGGAGACAGACTGTTCTCTCGCTGGACCTTTTGGGAAGGACACTAGATGGCACAAGGTGAGTTAAGGAAGAGATGGTGGGAATACAAGTAAAGGTGAAATAATATAACTGGGAGGCACAGAAAGAATCCCCTGATAAAATGCCTCTCTCTAATCGGGTATAAAGTCCTTGCGTTTCAGCTGTCATAAAATTGGTAGAGTTTTTATTGAGCTTCATTTTTGACGTTGCAAATATAGTAACAATTGGGGAAAGGAGGAATACAAAGGAGGATACCAGGATTCAACTTTCTAGTCTTCACAGCATTAAGGAAAGGACAAACCTTGAGTGGAAGCAACCACTGCTGAAAGACTCAAAAGGTCAAAAAGGATATGTGTGGTTTCAGTGACTGACACCTGCATGCTCTAAATTTCGCTTTGGGCCCAGTAAGGAAATTGCTCAACCTGTCCTGAAGGGGGTTGTGCTCCCCACTCAAGGATTGGTTAGCATTTTGAGAATGGCCACAGATACAGCTTTGTCTCTAGAGGCCTAAGTGGCCTGCTGCAGTATGTTTTGCATTTTTATCTGTGCTACTCCTAAGTTTTGCTTTCATGGGGAATATGTCACTTTAGCCAGACAAATGCCTTCCAGGTAGAGACAGAAGCTTGCTCAGTGCTGCCCAGCAAGCTTCCTAGTTGAGGAGCAGGCAAATGAACCCTGGTCTCCTCCATCCAAGCTCAATGCTCTTCCCATTACCACACAGCTACCTACAAGACCAACCAAACTGGTTGGCTCAATTCTGTAAACAAAGCACATTTGCATGTGTACACTCACTTCCTTTGCATAACCTATTGAGTTTTCCTGCCAGCCATGAGAGAGAGGTTGCTAATTACTGAACGTTTCTGAGCCTCTATCCACCCATTTTCAAGGCTACTTTAAAGGCATGCCACCTCAAAAAAACCCCCCAAAACCCACCAGAAACCTAAAACAAACATCTGGATTCTCAAGGTGCTGAATTATGCAATTCTGCACTTGCAAGTTGAGACCACAGGAGTGCAGAATGAACAGAATCCAGGAGTTGCTCATTGTACCCTACGGCTCATAGGCAGGCAATTTATCATGTATCATGCACAGAGCACATCCAGCCCTGGTTGAAGGATTAAGCGTTAAGAAAGAACCACCTCAAGTTTGTGCTTATGTTTCCATAACAGAACAAAGCGTTCAAGAGCTGGGCACAAGAAAATTGGACCAAACTGATTCAAAATACTACTTTATGCAAGAGCGACACTGACTGCTTCACACATTGGGGAGTTTGGGTCTTAATCTATCATGCAGAACAAACAGTTCTAATTGCGACATCAGCAGCAAACTTATGCATGGCGAATTCTGTTTACAAGGCTGTCCGCTTTCCCTGGCCCTTCCCCCAGTTCTAATCTCCTGTTATATCACACCCAGCAGGGGGAAAACAGGGAATTTTCCTTGAAAAATTCCCATTTCAGATTAAACTGTGCTAGCTTCTAGTTTTCTGTTGTCAGTGCTATTGTTCTGTATTTTGTATATCTGTGTTTCCAACACTCTCTTTCAATGCTTTGAATGCTTGGTGTAAGCCGCTTTGGACACAGCGGCATGTAAGTAAACGCAGTCAACCAATCAACATCTGGAATGTTACTGTGTTAAGAAAACAGGGAGTAGGTTTGAGCAGTGAAGAAGAGGCCCAGTCCTCCCACAGGCCCCTTCTACTAACCAAACCAGTTTCTGTGACTGGTGACCACTTTAGAGAGCTTCTACCAGGTTCCGGCTTGAGTAACAAACACACCTCCCTCACGAGTTGGTCCATTTCACTTCCTCTGGATGACAACCACCTCAGCAATTTCTCCCACTATCTAACCCTGCTCAACTCTGCCGTGTCTATGAGGTTGTTCTCATCTCAACCTTGACTGTTCTCCCACCTTGTGTGCCCCTACTCCAAATAGCAAACTGGTTTTGGCCAAAATATCCCTCCAACCTAGTCTTCAATGCTCATTATTCAACCTGGCTCAATGGGGGGGGGGGATAATGATGTGTTTATGTCCTGTCTCTAGTCACTTGCTGTATTTTTTTGTGTTCAATTAAATATATCAAACAACAACAACATTAAATTTAAAAAGCAGCCTTCATCCTGACAGTAACACTAGGGTTGCCAAGCTCCCTAAGAGTTAGACCCTGAGATTCAAGGAGTGGAGCTTTGGAGGACAAAGGATGGTGGCTGGCAGCTAAGAGAGTGGCATCTCATGGGAGTAGAGACCATGATAAACATGGGAGTGAAACTGAGAGAAGAACTCCCAGGCCAAGCAGGAAAATCCCTTGGGCTCTGTCCCCTCTACTTGAAGGGCCACGAAGAAGGGGAACTTACTTGCAGCGTTGGTCAGCCTTGTCCAGAAGGGGCGTCAGCTTCAGAAGGAACTCAAAGGCACAATTCACATCTTCGGTGAAGTCCTGCAATTGCACTATTATTATTTTCTTCCTTACATCTAAAGGGTCTGCCAATGCTGTACTGGAATCCCCACCCATAATCCCCTATAAAAACAGGCCAAGGCAGTGCATCCCAATAAGCCCACTGAGAACATTAGCTCCTGGTCATTTCTTTTCAGCAAGTTTCATGCTACAGAATTTGCCATTGAACAAGCTAGAAAAAAAATTCCAGCAAACTTAAAGGGTTGGTTGTTTTGTTTCTCTCCACGCCCCCCTTTTGTGGTATAGAAGCTTGAAACCACTTGATTAAGTAAACTGAAGCCCTGCAGACACACTGGTGAAGAATTACTTCATTTGAACTGCTCTTAGCAAGTGGCACATTGCAGTTGGGGGTTTTATAGAGTAAGGGAGAATATGATAAATGTGTGTGGAACTGATTTTTTGTCTCCCCCAGATTTTATGTGGCATGGAATTTAGAAAGAAAAAGAAAACTTATGCTGAGATTTGAAAGGTGAAATATGAATAGCAGGTGATTTTTTTAATTTGTATTTTTTAAATGAGGCAGTCTCAAAAGTTAAGCTTTGAGGCTAATTTGTTTTCATCTGCCTCTCTTAAAGACCGCATTAGATGACCTCTATGACTGGGAAGACCGGTCCGAATCCCACTTTAGCCATAAACTCACTCAGTGGCAGAAGAACTACTTTTTAACCAAAAGCTCCATTTAGCCCAGCATTCTGTCTAAGGCAGCAGACAGCAGTCAAATGCCTCTGTGAAGTTCACAAAGAGGGTATGATGGAAATGCCTTTCTTCTTTGACCTAAAGCATGATGATCATAGAAATTCTGGCTCTTCGTCCTTACCCATCATGGCTGGAGTCACTGATGGGCCTTGTTCTCACTGAAAATCCCATCTTTAACCTAAGCCCTCTTAATTGCAAAACTAAAAGCATGCTTCCATTTTCCATTTTTCTTCCCAAATAATTTTTAGCAGTTCTAAACAAATACAGTGGTACCTCGGGTTACAAACTTAATTCGTTTTGGGGGTCCGTTCTTAACCCAAAACCGTTCTTAACCTGAGGTGCGCTTTTGCTAATGGGGCCTCCTGCTGCTGCCATGTCACCACTGCACGATTTCTGTTCTCATCTGGGGGCAAAGTTTGCAACCCGGAGCAACTACTTCCAGGTTAGTGGAGTTTGTAACCCAAAGCATTTGTAGCCCGAGGTACCACTGTAAATAGAACACTGACGTAGCTGTTGTGGTGATGATGATGATTTGCTTTTCAAAAATCAACCTTTACCTTTTCTCCTTGAGGATATTTTTTCAGTTTTACAAGTACTTGTGGAATCTGAAAAAGAGCAAAGTAAGAATTTAATAAGGGACCTCAAAACTATCGCCCCTGCCCCATCTCCTTGTGAATTTCGCTCCCTGGTTCACACGTCCTGGACTGCCAAAAACTCCTTTGCCTTTTCACTCCCTTCCCCCTTTTCACAGCCCCTCCTCCTCCTCTCCCTAGACCAGGGGTCTGCAACCTGCGGCTCCGGAGCTGCATGTGGCTCTTTTACACCTTTGCCGCGGCTCCGGGGCGGATACTAGTGAGGGGAGGAGGTGCATTGTGCGCCCCGACACTCCCCACTGTGGCGGGCGCTGTACTGGCTGTGACGTCGCATGGGGGCAGTGCGTGCGTTAGTCACGCACCGTCCCGACGTCACCTTCCCGCTGTCAGATCGCGGCTCCGGAGATATATTTGTTTTAAATGTCGCAATGGTTTTGCGGCTCCCAGTTTTTTTCCCCTTCGGAAACGGGTCCAAGTGGCTCTTTTTGTCTTAAAGGTTGCAGACCCCTGCCCTAGACCCTGCAAGACAGTTGTTCCTGACTTCCACTCAGTCCCATTGCCCTTTAACAATCCTCTGGCCCTCCAGATGTTGCTGAACTACAACTCCCATCACCCCCAGCAAGAATGGCCAAGGATGGTTCAGCCATATCACGAGCGTCCAAAGTTTTCTACAGCTGCTTGTAGTCCTCTTTCCCAAAACACTTTCCCACCTCTATTCTCCCGTGAACCCTAACTGCACACAGACCCTGTGCAAACTGGCCTTCGCTTTCCTCATAAATGCCAAGCTGTTTTTCAACTTCCTATTACTATTATCTTCACACTCCGATGTTAGAACATTTCATGTTCCATCTACGAACATTCCATGACATGAAACTAGCCTAACTAATGCTCAGAAAAGGTTCGAAGTCAGTCTGGTTGCCGCTTCCGGTCTCCTTATCAACCAAGTCAAAGTCGCAAACTGGCTTAATTACTTCCAGCGACAAATCTGGGGTGGATGCTAATGTGGTCGAGGGCGCTAAATATTGAATCGGAAGGTTTCAAATCTCAACTCGGCTATGAAACCGATTTCTCCCTTGCTTTTGAAGATAAGAAAGCATTTTGCACATGAAACTGGAAATAAATATTTAAAAAAACCAACAAACTCCTAAATGTAGAATTAGGCATGTCTAATCTGATCTTCCTGCTATCATATGGCAACAAGCTCCAGAGATTAACTGTTTGCTATTTCTTTTGCTTTCCAGTTTGTTCAGGAGTGTGTGTGTGTGTGTGTGTGTTTGTCTCTTTCATGCTTCTTAATTTATTCCTCTTTGCATGGCTGATAAGTTACATGATGTACTTGAGTTGCAATGGAGATTTACTGAGCAGGCAGGGAATGCTAAGTTGCAATTTGCTGGATCTCTTTGGGGGAATCTAGCAGCGTCACGAGTGTGTTTACCAAGAAAGCCAGGGAGAAGGAAGACAGAGCCATCTGGCTTATGTTTACATTGCAAAAAAAAACAAAAAAATAAAAGAAGTATATAGCTAAATACAGATACTCCTCCAGGCTCTACCAAAGATGACAGCCCAGAAAGAGCATAAGAAGAGATTGGTGTTTCCACTCACTATAATAGTGAATGGCATCCAAGACCCCGGCTGCCAGTAGATCTGAGAACCTGGATTGATGCAGATGGGGGAAACTATGATTACAAAGGGCAAGAATTATCATGGCAGAGGTTACAGTGTGAGAGTAAAAGTATTTGAACAAGACCCTAGGGGACTTTGGTATTTCTTCCTTTTCCTTCCTAATCCCTAACGTTGCAGCTGCGTTGTGCCAGGACTGATACAGGGGCAGCCATACTTGATCCTGATCAGCAGCGTGTTTTACCAACCCAGGGTTCCTGAAGTCAGAGGTGAGGACTGGAGTAGAGTTGGCAGAAGTTACTGTTCTGTTGACCAGTCAAAAGCAAAAGGCTGGGCTCCAAAGTGCTCACAAGACTGGCCAATCCAGAGGTCTCGTGCTGCCTGCCAATTGCAGAGGTCGAGGTTGGACACACCTATCCATGCCTTCTATACCTTAAGAGAACTCCGGGCCCAAGCATACACAGCCCCAAGTACTCATTAGGCTGGGTCCCAGCCAGAGTTCAATAAAGGTTTTAAGCAGAGATTGAGAATCTGTAGCTTTCCAGATGTCGTTCAATTACAGTTCCCAATTCCTGACCCGCTGGCCAAACTGACTCAGGCTATTGGGAGTCTGAGTCCAATGACACCTGAAGGCCACAGGTTTAGATTCCCTGGTTGAGAACCTAGAAAGGAGCACTAGAGTGGTCAGGTTACTGAGACACTCTCCTTCCCCATTTTGCTTAAATAATATTTCTAGACCTTGCAGTTGCCAGAAAACAACCACAGCCTTGAACATAAAACTCTCAGTTTCTGCTAAAAGTTTGGAATCAGTGTCCAGATACACGTCTCCAAAGATGCCCCTATCAAAAAATGAAGCAGGGGACAGGGGGCTGCAGGTAGACCCCAAGGATAATTGGGTGTGTGTGTGCAACCAGGTTGGAAAAACAGGAATATCAACCAGATATTTGGGAGAGTCTACCAAGCCTGTGCAATGTCAGAAAACAGAAGCAGAAAGAAGCCTGTTACAGGGGGAGAAAACTGTTTAATTACGGAGAAGCGGGGTAGGTGAGGGATAACGTGAAATCCATTCACTTCACCTAGGTCAGCCACACAGCTCAGGAGGAAACATGGGCTAAGGCAATGTATCAGGAATGCAGGGACTGCTTTATATCAAGTCAGACTATGGGTCCCTCTAGTTCAGTACTGTCTGCACCAACTGGGAGTGACCAACTGTCTCCAGGATTTCAGGCAAGGGATGTTCCCCAGCTCTCACACGGAGATACCAAAGATTGGACTTTGGGCATGCAACGCATGCGCTCTACCACTGAGTTACTGCCCCCTCTCTTGTACCTGATGCCCTAAAACGACCATGAATTTATCCAACTTCCCATAACCCTTTTGGTCTCTGTTGCTTGGTAAGCTGGGAAACTCAGATGATAAACAAAGGAACTTTACGAAAGGCTGAGCCCCAGCTTATTTGGGCCTAAGGGCACCTTAACCTTGAGGAATGTGAAGGCTGTCCATTTGAGTTCCTCTGTCCCTTCAGGAGACTCAATCAGCCCCACAAAGCAGGCTTTCCAGATTTCCAGAATGAAAAGCGGGGACGGAATGCGCTAGCAGGGAGAAGCAGACAGAGGGAGAGAAGGCCTCAGGATCTTCCTCAGGGAACACAGTTTGGATTCAGAGTGGCACAGTACTGACAAAAAAAAAAGGCTGGATGCAAGATTTCTAGCACACTTGGACTATCCAGCAGTCCCATTCCACCATCACCCCAACTTCTCACGTTAAAGCAGACTTCCCACACTCTGAAGAGTGTTGTGCATCATGATCCTTCAGCCAAGAGTCCACAAACTGCAGCTGGGCTTGATAACCTGTAATAATTTATCCTAGCCAGCAAGAGTAAGTGCCTAGAAGCACCGACAGTCCCTCTTTCTACAAAGCGAGGTTGCAGCGCCCCCCCCCCTTCCTCCTCCCCCACCACAAATGAATGAGAAGGGCTTAGAGACAGATGGCATGCGCCTGGTTGTACTTCTCTTATTAGAAAACATACGGCCCCACCTCCCTTGCAAGGATAACATATGCTACTAAACAACAGAGCCTCCCTCTCCCAAAGTCTAGTCCTGGTTTTTCCCAATCCCTGTCCGACAGCTCTTCACAAAAATACTGCCTCCCTCTCAGATCCTCCAAACTCTCTCAACTCAAATAGCTTCTTCCTTGTTCTTTGCACCCACTTCTACACAGATTCATTCATGCCCATACAAAGTGAGGTAGGACTTCCAATTTCAATAACAATATCCTTTCCTATCATAGACACCTGCTCCATGTTTTGCTCTCTTCCTTGCAGCAACACACACACAACCACATTGTTCTTTTACTAGGGGCTGCACCCCTGCTCACCAACCCCCTGCCATTCCTCCCACATTAACCCCTAGAGCTTCCTTCCCCTTCCCACCCATACAATTACTAAGCTTGTTTTCCACCTTCCCAAGCCATTTCTGAAGCCACTTCTCTTTTGTATTCTGCAGCCCCACCACGTACCTGTTTTCACCTTTACCCTCATGTCTATTCTCCCACCTTTGCTGCAAGCTCCCCCTATACACCACCTCTCAGGTAACTTCCTGAGTCTTCCTCCTCCTTCACATTTCAAACTACTAAGCACCCCTTACGTCCAGTTATGAAGCCACCATCCCCCCTACACTTCAGAGAGAAAGAGAGAAGCACCACAAGAAAACTTGGGCCTCGGTCATCAGCCTGCTAAGTGAATAACAGCGGGAAAATTATGCTGAAGCATTCTCTCCAGAGACTAGAAGCTCCAGCCCTCCCAGGTTTCCAGCCAAAAGCAAGAAAGTTTGCTTAAAAAGCTACATCTGCCTTTTTTCCTCTTTCCATCCCAAACTAATAGGGCAAGCCAGCACTATACAGCCAGTATAGGTCTCCTACTGTCATCTTAACTCTCTTTAATTTTCCATTGTTTTAATTGATTTCAAAAGAGAGGTACAACAGATGCCCAGACTAGATAAACAGTTCGCTCATGGTAAAACTGATCCTGGACAGTACCATTTCGGAATGCATAGGAGGGACAACAGGACTGAATTCACTGCTATTCAAGCACATTATTCATAATAGAAAACTATGTGCCAGGGGGAAAGGATCTAGTCCAGTCTTCCTACGACATGCTAGCTACCTAAGTGCTGGATGTTCTTCTTTATTCATGGAAGAAAATTCAAATATGCAAGCCCCCAGCTGCAGTCTGAAGTAGAACATTTCTACCATGCGATGGGACTCCAATAGGAGTCACAGACACAGTGAGACAAAGCATCCTTCCTATGGTCCAGCCATACCTGCATCCTTTTGACCATCATGAGTTGCTCCACCAGCGGCTGCGGCTCTCCAGTCAGGTTCATTGTCCCCTCTAGCAGCACCACAGCATGGATCGTGGGGAAGCCAGTTTTGTTCAGCTGTTCCGCGTGCACAGAGAGCATAGTGGGGATACTGTGTGGAAAATTGGGACAGGGAGGAAGAGGAGGTATTAGAAGTTCGGTTCCGTTTGTGTACAGAGAGGAAAAAGCTTGCTCTTCACCATGCAGCTGCCATTTGCCCACCTCTTGACAAGGCCAATGCACTCCTCTGCCTGGCTTTGCAACTGGCTGTTGCTGATGTGTCCTAAATTGTC